GAAAGCTACATGCCACATCTGATCCTAGGCTAGAAGCTTTACTAGATGGGAAAATGCTATGAAGGACTTTAGATGCTGGGGTAAAGTATCATCAAAGTTAAATGGACTGAGAAGTGAAGTAATGTAAGAGGATGTCATTTTTTGGGAAATAAGTATTAAAGTACTTAGGGGTAAAGGGCTATGATGTATGCAACTCACTCTCAAATGCCTTCATTTTTTTGGAGACAACTGATAAAGCAAGTAAGGCAAAATGTTAATATGTGAACAATATAATCTAGGTAAATCATACATAGGTTTTTTTTAACTTGTAACTTGCTTGGAAGTTTAAGTTATTTCTCAATAAAATGTTTTCAAAAATACCTCTAGTGTATATTACAACTAAAAATGTCTTGGGTGTATTCTGTCAGCTTTCACAGAAAGGCCCAATTCAGTACCTGCCATTCACTCAGGCAGAGCCTGCGCGATCCTGCGATCCTCACCTCAGCTCTGCTGTCCAAGTCACCTCATTTACACTGAGTCGCCCTTCCTTGGATAGAAAGGGGATAATCCGTTGGGTCTTTGATTCACTTCAATTAATTATCTGGTAAAAACAAAAATCTAAATGTAACTTCTACTTGAAGTCACTGTGATGTAAATGGGACAAGATCAGTGTGATATTCTTTTTATATCAATTCTGTACAAAGAGTACAAGGCTGATGCTTCATTTTTTATTTCCCCTCTGCCCTCCCACCCCACCCCTGGTGATGGTTGTACCCATTTGAGCATTTCTGAGCATAAGACTATAAGAAGTCTTAAAACAGGAGCAGAATTCTCATCCAAACAGTAACAAGGGGAGTAGCTGCAAGGATAGCATAACTGTTGTGCAGTAACAGAAGCTGCCCAGATCTTGGTGGATAATGCATAGAAGACTTAGAATTACGGAACATCTGTCCCCCCAACCACCCTTTCCCACCCCAGTCCCCCAAGCCCCCACTCCCACCCCACCCCCAATTAATAGTGTTAACAAAAGCTTAATCTTCCAGTTCTAAAGTGCAAATGATTTGGGTATGACTGCTGTTGCAACAGGTCTGAACAGGGAAAAAAAATGAAGTCCTCTGTCTATGCGATGTTTTCCAGAATATAAAAGATGAGTTCCATGACGATGGGGCCCTCATTGAGCTGGCAGGCCCCTCCATGGATCACCGGCACCAAAGCGCTGTCCAGATCGTTCATGTACTGCGAGGGAAGGGGCTGGCCATTGCTCCCTGCTTGATAGCCAACCTACACCACGGAGAGAAGGGGATGACAGGTTACTGGATAGAGGTCTCTCCAGAGGGCTGAGGGCCACGGAGGCTGAGCGGGAAAGGAGATGTCCTTGGCCATAGGCTAGATACACAGCAGCTAACAGATTTCTCCTACTCTTCCCGGAATTGTCTCATTTATTCATCCTGACCCTGCGACCTTGGGCAAAGCACTTAACCTGTTACGGCCTTAGTTTCCCAAGAAGGGGCTGGGGGCACCATAGAGAGGTATGGAATGTCAGAAATCATACCTAAATCTATGGTTTGTGAAAACGAAAATGGGAAATATACTATTTAACTCCCTAACAAAGTAGGAACTGAACATTTATTCTGC